TATTGTGTGATTGGCAGCTCTGGGGGGAAAATGCGTCTGTTTAAACGGAGGTCTTGCCGTGTGGCGGGGTGGCGGGCTTCCCTACAACAACAGCCATGAGCAGATGGGTCCTCGCCCGCTGTCCCTGGGGCAGCTTTTACTTTCGCCTGTCTAATAAATCATCCTTTTCCATCCAGCACATTATACACAGGTATTTCATTGCTTTACAAACCCCGGCACAGCATGCGCAGGCCATTGAGCCGGTTTGAGATGCTCATGTTGATAATGAACACATGTTCCAGATTGTAACTACCGAACGGAACCGTCTGGGCTCTTGAGAGTATTCCGAGACATTCATTTGAGGATATAGGTGGTTATGTGATTAAAAGGAGATGATGGCCGTCCTCCAGAAATGGACAGGCTTGGCATGATGCTGTCCAACTGAGCAGGTTTATCAAATTGAGGAGCAATTTTATAAACCAAGGGAACAAATTAACTTTAATAGCCATTATTAGATAGTCATTACCTTTGCATCTATATATTTGTCATATCAAGAGGGATAAGTTCATCCAAAAATGAAACATTGCTGTCAATTTACTCATTCTCAAGCCATTTAAGTTGGAGGTTTTACTTCAGTGAAACAATTAAAGAAGCTTTTTGACTGAAACAGTGTTTCTTGTGGGTTTATTAATGCAATTCAAAGACTACTGGCAATTTGAGAGCCAAAACAAATACAGTCAAAGCCACATTAATACTTCTGGCTCTAGATGATACATTGAGGAATTATTTATTTTTTATTTTTTTGATTTTATTACTCAAAAAAAAGTGAATAAAAAGTCACCTACTGTACATCTTAGATTACATTTAAAGTGAGTTAATTAACTGTGGTTTGTCATTTATGCGTGAAGTATCATTTCTATATCTTTGTCTTTTCAGCATAGTAAACATTTGTTAAATTGTATTTAGCCAAGCCCACAGTTTGCATGAGTGTTTATTCTGGATAATACTTTTGACTGGTAGTTTTCCTTATCCAGCATTACAGATGTACTTGACAAGGATAAAAAAAACACTCATGTAAAGGAAGTGATGCTGTCAAATGTGGCAAAAAACATTACACTGATTTATTTGATTCATATATTTAAATAGCTGCAGTCATCACAGTCGGTGGGTGCTGCATGCTGTGCCTTTAATATATCGAACAGGAAAATGGACTTATTCAGGGAAACAATTGCTACAAATTGCTTTTCAGAACAAATGATTAATTAAATTTCAGGAAGAGATGAATAGACTGTGGATGTATCAGTTTGAGCTTGCTCCTTCTGTTCATTGAGGTTTAGAAATCGAAATTAAGACTATACAAAACTGTGCAGTTTAAGTATCTTAAGGATTAGCACTTTGTTTTCTCAACATAAATGATGCTTTAAATCGTGTATATTTTTATAAACTATATGGCGATATGGCAAAAATCTCAATAAATATATTGCATTTTGAATAATAAAGAAATATTTTTCAATATAAGTTGTTAATGCTTTCAGATTTAAAAGAGTACCCCAACTATGACTGAAGCCACAAAAATTAGAGGGTGCATTATAGACCATTCTGAGGGATGTATACAATCAATACATCTTGTTTACATCCCTCAAAATGGTCTATAATGCACCCTCTAGGTGACGTATTTCATGTTTCACATTTTACATTTCTATAGCTTCTGAGAGTCCAAAAAGTTCTCCATATTGATAGATAATGTTACGATAGCTATTATAACATCAAAATACAGTATGATTGAATCGCCTCATGTTACAGAAAGCAGGAAATGTTGATGGGCCAATGACGTCATCACATTGAAATGGTCTAAAGCACAACCTATTTCCGGCTGATACATTTTCAGTGGCAAAATTCAGTTCATTTCTAATATCAACACACTTTTAGATTCCCATTGTCGCCTATTTGTGATTGGCTCTTAGATTAATACAGAGTAAAAAAGTCCAGAGCTCATCATTGTTATTGACATTAAATTGATCGCTATTTGATAATATCGGTTTATTTGGCCCATCCATATTATGTACCACCATTTAAATGTTTGTGGTCTTTTCTTCTTTTTGGTTTTTATTTCTTAGAGTTCTCTCTTGCTTGCCAAGGATGAATTTAATTAATCAGAAATCTACTGAAATCATAACAATATGAAACTTTACAACTTAGAAAATCTGTGTAGCTTTTTCACAATGTTACGTGATCTTCAGAAATTATTCTGATGTGTTGATGTACTGTTTGATGTTCTGGGCTGGCTGCCTGTTAGTCTTTCTCGTCACTTTTGGCCAATTGAATGCATTCTTAATGAATAAGAGCATTTCTTTCCTTCAAAAAAGTCTCACTGACCTCAAACTTTTGAAAGATATACCACATTCAGGACATCTATACTACTAAAAAACAGTTTCCCTGATGATAGAAAAAGTTTTTCATCTGAACTTTTCACAACCTTACCCGCAGAATGAATTTGTCTGCTAATAAAATATCAGTTTCACATGCGCACCTTAGAAAATATTTCACACATGTTATTTACTTTTAGATGCTTCAATGCATGCTCTTCAGCAGATAAATGTTCTTACATAGCTATACATACAGTAGTGCAAACCGTTATTGATGCGCGTGAATTAAATATTATCTTGTACATGTTCCTTTAATTACAAAATGATTCATGCGCATTCAGTTGATTTTCAAAGCATTCACACTGGGTGCCTTGCCTTGAGGTCAGTCAGAGTGTAAGCATTTCAGAAATGAATCATATTTTTCATCATAGTAGAATAGATACTGGTTAAAAGTTTGGGATCTAGTAGAGTTTAAAAACGTTTTTAAAAAGACTATTGTGCTCACCAAGGCTGCGTCTATTTAATCAAAAATATAATAAAATGTGAATTATTATTACAATTTCAGAAAATTAAAAATGATTTTTAAATGTCTGTATTTTTTTATCAAATAAACACAACCTTGGTGAGCAGAATAGGCTTCTTTAAAAATATTTTAAAAATCTTACTGATCCCAAACTTATAAGGTGCGTCCCAAATTGCAAACTGTTGCATTATTCTACGCCATTTTGTAGTATAACTAGTTTAAGTAGTGCATTCCCACTGAAAACTCTAAAAATAATAAGTGCACTTCAGCTACCTGGACTCATTTAGCCACTATAATGAACTGTGGAATGAGGGACTCTTCACACACTCAATAGTCGCAGCTTTGCCCACGTAGCGGAAGGGGTAGAGCTTTCTGGCGCTCATGTTGGATTACGTTATTTATTTTGGATTGTGAAAGCAAATTTTTTTTTACGAGAGTAAGTATGCTAAAGTATAATAAAGTATAAGTATAATAAAATTAGTTTATTTCACTAATCTGGCAACCATCAAATTTCGTCAGAGAAACAGTTGGAATTTCCGTGTGCCATTGTGTGCCATTTGAGACACAGCTATAGTGTATATTAAAGGTGCAGTATGTAAGTTTGACACCCAGTGGTTGAACTAGGTATTGCATTCCTATGTCAAAACAAATGCAAGCGCAGGTTGCGAAATTGAGGACCAACAGGAGTGAGTGTGACGATCGAGCCAAACAGCTGATTTCAATTGTCAAATAAAAGCAATGGCATGCGTTAGAAGAAATATTTTCCATATTAAAATGAGTTTTTTGTTCTAACCAACACCTCGAATTAATATGTAAGAAACAGTGGCTGCGTCCGAAACCGCCTACTAATCAGTAGGTACTGCATTTGAATTTAAACCGACTACTCGGCCGTTAGAAAAGTATGTTCTATACAGTATGAATGTGAAAAGTATGAATGGAATTCGGACGTACTACATCCGCTATTTTGTCATGGTCACGTGACCTACCTGTATCAGTTGCGTCAATCACTTCCATTCATGAATTCTCTCGCGGGGCATTATGGGATAGCGCAGCGTGCATGGGATGCGCACTCCAGAATCTCACCGGAAGTAGTAAGTCATCCGGGTACTTCTCGCATACTGATTTTCAAATTCTATGAATTTGAACATACTACTCGGCTCTCATACTGATTTTAGCGTACTTTATAGTACTATAGAGTACTATTTATTTTTTTTGCAACTGAACAACAGTATAAACTGTCAATGATCACCTCAGGTACACTTCATGTGCTTTATTCAGTTTAAAATGCTAAAAATGTGAGTTTGATTGCCATACTACTGAAAGCAGCAGCAAATAGTTCACCTCACATCATGAAAATAAAATAAACGATTTGAAATAAAATTTTAGACTCAAAACCAATACATATCAGTGATTCAGCATGTACATTTAATTATGTTAAAGAGGATTAAAAGGGAATAATTAAACGATAAACCTTACCATTTCGCTGGAGTGCAGTAAGAGCACTATTCTGTGCTTCTGAATAACCGTATTTAAATTTCTGTTGTGTTTCGTCTCTTGCAAACAGCCAAATTGCTTATCCCTGCAAATCTCATCACGAAGCATGTTGTTAGGAAACATGATTACAATGTAACCTGCTCACCTAATGTTTACGCTCGTAATATTTATATTATTTGCTAATTAATAACCTCATGTGGAACTCTGAATCTGCATTTCATTTCGGACTCTTCTACTGTCCAAGACAGTAATAAACAAGAATATTCACTTAGCATGTTTCTTAAATATCTGCAAACATATTTTGGTATTTTTATGCTTTAGAAGAGTCAAAAACTTACATACAGCACATTTAAAGCCCCTCGCAGTTCGCACTGTGCTGTATCTGGCCTGTACCTTTGGTGGTCTCGTTGGGCCTGTGTGTGTGTGTGTGTGTATATGAGTGATGCTGTCACTCAGCAGGGGGTGACTGCTCTCTCTGACAGGCCTCCTCATGGGCCTGTTTGCCTGCCAACATCACAGCCCAATCTGACTTACACATCTATTCTAGTTTTTGCACACACGCCGATATGAGCAATCTTGCTTCAGCTGTCGCACTGACATCTCTCTGGCTCTGTCTCTCTCTTTCTCTCTCTCTGCAGGATGAGTGTTCAGTGAGTAGCGAGGAGTTTGATATGAGTGACCCCACATGGATATCAGCTGAACGTCACGGCACTCTGTCTGACCTGAATCACCCCTCCAGCGCGGATAGGATGCACAGCCCGCAAAACGCACACAAGGAAGAGGACGGTAAGAGTTAACCCACTGATTACTCTAGAGGCTCTAGTAAAGCGCGTGTGTGTAATAAGTCATTTCCTTAATCAGTATTTTTCTCTCGTTGTTCGGTAATTAAATATAAACATCTCTAAAAGGGATGCATAGTGTTGCGTTACACTATATGCATACCTGCCATCGTTTCTGCCATCTCTGAAACTCCGGGAGGGTGTGGTGTGTGGGTGGTGTGGGATGTCTAGGTGTCGGGGGTGAGGTGTCTGAATAACACAGCTAAGTAACTGTACTATGCAGCAAGTTTCGGGCAGCCACTGCGATCAGATACTATAAGTTGGCAATCTGGCGGTGTTATAAACTGTACCAGTAAGCTGAGGATGAAATTACGCTAGTTTTCCTGGAGAAATAACAAAACGGGAGGGTGGCAGGAGATGGGTCTGAAATACGAAAGACTGCCGGGTAAAAATGGAAGTGTTGGCAGGTATGTAAATGTTGGATATTTAAAGTAATAGTTTAATTAAAAGAAACATTTATGAATAAAAGGAGGTACAGTAAGATTTTTTTTTTCGATGACTAAATATTTTTAGCGTTATTTTCCTTGTAGTCAAGCCTGATTGTAGTTTTATGTGTGTTATTTGTGTAGTTTACTGCACTTGTTATTTATTGTGTTTAGAATAGTTGAATAGTTTAGAATTAGTGTGATTGTTACTATATCTGCTACAAAAGACAAATGTTTTTATTCTTTATTAAACAATTTTATTATTATTATTATTTAATCTGTTGTATAAAATGGTCTTAAAGTGTCAAACAAGATTATAGCATTTGTTTGAGACAACTTATCGCATACTAAAATGCCATGACAGGCCTAAAAGGAAGATTCTAGTTTATAAATGCATTTATTTTGTCAAATTACAAGGAAAACTAACGAACAAAAAAATATTTCTATAGGAAAAATGGCTATGATAAAGCTAAATTTTAGTGTCACAATATCTTTTAAAACTTAATGTGACATACTGATTTGATGTTCAAGTATTTGATAATATAGGCATCTGTTGTAACTTGTAAATATTATTGAAAGTATGAGTAAAAAGTACTCGAGTAGTGAGTATTACACTGTGCAAAGCAGATGCTTTTACATGCATGTGTTTGTGTAAACGTAACATTCTGTAGTGCATTTAGATATTAAGGCTATTTGAAGATTTCAGTCATTGTACAGTAAACATGAGCCTTATTCTCATGAAGAGATGAATAGACCATCTTCTCATTAGTGACATTCAGATTGAACAGTCATTGCGTGTAAAGATTTTGGACATCTTTGGACATCTGATCAAATTGTTCATGATGTTGCAAAATTATTATTATTTGATTGGATGGGAATCACAGGACTGATTTTTCATATCCCCATAGACAAGAACAAAATAAGGTAGTGACTGCAGGTTGAAGGAAATTAGTGGAGTAAAAGTACCAGTACAGCACTATAAATGCATTCAAGGGAAAGTAAAAGTACACATTTTGAAAACTACTTAGTAAATTACAATTCCTGAGAAAAAACTACTCAATCACAGTCATTTGGGTAGTTGTAATTTGTTACTTTACACCACTGCCTTTCTTATCATCAGATGTAATGCTTAATATTTTTGTGAAAACTGTGATACATTTCTCACTACTATCACTTCTAGCCAGTTTGATGCATTCTTGCTGAATAAAAGCCAGTGCTTCCCACACATAGACTTCACTTGGGCGGGCTGCCCAGGTATAACAATGGCTGTCCTAGTATACTTAGTAACTTTTTTTACTGTTATTATGAGGCTTTTACACTTTTTTGTATCCACCCAATATATTCAATGATCTACAATACAATGATCTATGTGCACGAGACCTGTCAACACTCCCACAGACAGTCTCACATGCTCTGCATACCCACAGAGACATGTCTTTTTGGGACTTAAAAAACTCTGGCTGGGGTTTCTACATCTCCTAAAATGTCTGGGATTCAGCTTTTGCTTTTGCTTTTGCTTTTTAAAGCTGTCTTTAATCGTGTGGGTTTTTGCATGAAAGCGAGAAAAATATTAAATAATTAATTCTTCGATCTAAACGTCTCAGAAAAACTTCACTATATACTCAACTAAACTGGCTGCTAAACAAGTGTACACCATTAGTAATGGTTAATCAATGCATTTGCCTTATTTAAATAATCTACACATTTTATTATTAAAATTTTTAGAGATATTGTCTGTTTTTATTCCCTTTTTTGTCATTTATTGTTTTTAATTTAATAATGTTAATGTAATACATTTGCTTTTTTATATACAGATCTAAAATGCTTTGGCATTCAAGTTTGCTTTGAACTTGAGAGAGAGAGAAAGAAGCAGATTTTACCTGTCAGTCCTGAATAGCGTAAAAGTAAGAAACATAGTGGATTTCTTTTTTATTTCAACAGATTTTTATTTTTTATTTTACTTTAACCCATTAAAAAGAAACAAAGTATATTAGTGTCATAATACATAAAATTACACTACCTGACAAAAGTCTTGTTTTAGGAACAACAAATAATAACTTGACTTCTAGTTAATCATTTGGCAAAAAAGCGTTCTTGCAGGACTCCCAGAGTTCACCAAGATTCTTTGGATTCACCTTCAATCCATCTTACCCCAGACATGCTCAATAATGTTCATGTTTATTGACTGGGCTGGCCAATCCTGGAGCACCTTAACCTTCTTTGCTTTCAGGAACTTTGATGTGGAGGCTGAAGTATGAGAAGGAGCGCTTTCTTGTTGAAGAATTTGACCTCTTTTGTGGCGTTTAATGTAATGGGCAATACAAATGTCTTGATACCTCAGGCTGTTGATGTTGCCATCCACTCTGCAAATTTCTCGCACACCCCCATGCTGATTATAACCCCAAACCATGATTTTTTTCCTTCACCAAACTTGACTTATTTCTGTGAGAATCTTGAGTCCATGCGGGTTCCAATAGGTCTTCTGCAGTATTTGTGATGATTGGGATGCAGTTCAACCGATGATTCATCTGAAAAATCTACCTTCTGTCACTTTTCCAAATGATCAACTAGAAGTCAAGTTATTATTTGTTGCTCTTACAACTAGGATCGTCGACAAACTTTTGTCAAATTGTATAGTTCAATTATGTTTTGTTTGTGGCTTATAGTTAGTCTTGTGATGTGGGTAAATAATGTGTTTCAATCCAGCTTCCACCGCAAGTATATTTCAAACCTATGGGAAGCACTGAAGCCATTCCAAATTTTTGACCAGTGGTGTAGATGAATATATATTCATATATGAATAAAAATTCATAATATATTAACTGGAAAACATATTGTTAGAAATGTACAGTGTTATTTACTTCTGCTAAAACTTTAGGTAAGGCTTAAGGAAAATTCTTATTGAGGTTTTGGGAAGTGTTATTGAGAACAGAGAAAGAGAGAGAGAGAGAGAGAGAGAGTATGTGTGTGTGTGTGTTTTTGTGTGTGTGTGTGTGTGTGTGTGTCAGCAGATGAAGCATGTTCTTTTATACACATGCTGTTTGAGAGCAGTGGAATGGCCAGAATGAGGCGAGAAGAGATGTAGGTATCGATTGTGATCGAGTGGCCTCCTCCCTGCTGCTTTCAAGGGAAGAGAAGGATCTGGACAAAGAGAAAAATTCATAGACGAATGGAGATAAGGAGAAAAAGAGCGATGGAAAGAGAGAGCAGCGAGTATATAGAGTGGTGTGGGCATGTTTTTAAATTGCTAAAGGAAAAGTACAGTTGAAAAAATCATTTATTCACACTTGTATCGTCTCAAATCTGTATTCTCTTCATGAACTTCCATGACCCTGAAGGCTCTGCATTTAGATAATGACGGGCAAAGCAGAGAGCGTTTTTCCTCTCCCTCCCCTTTTCCTCCACCTATGGTGCAAATATAACTGTAATCTTTCTACATTGAAGGCAAGTGCAAAAAGCTGCTTTTGAAAGACACATACATACAGTTTTCTTTTCAGATGCTTAGGATAAACATATAGGCTGAATGCAGACGTGGACACACACCCACACACACATGCGAACACTGAGCTTCTGAATCACAAATCGAGCCCTCCCAGCAGACACCTTTTCTTGCTCCTTCAGCCATGACAAGTGAACTCTCTCTTCAGAGAGAATCAATGAATTCCTATCAGAAATACATTGATTTCGAATAAGATTCAGCAAACTCTCTCTGCTCATGACAGTAATGCTGCAGTTCTTAAAGGGTAATTCACCTTACAATGATCATTTGCTCTTCTGTCACTCGACAATATCATTTAATCTTATGTCACTCCAACACTGACAAAAAGAGATACATATTGATGAACGGAGGTTAACTTTCATAATATGGATTTATGTCTATATTTTTCGGTTTTGCAAAAGAAAATAGTTTAAAGCCCCATTCATATCACCAGTGCTCCTATTCATTTCAATGGAGAGCTGGCCACTTCAAGCGACATGAGTGACAGTGACCATTTGCGACAAAACTTTAGAAAGGCTCTACTTTATGCAAATAAGAAGCGACTTTCACAAGTGATCACCAATAGGAGGGAAGTTAGTGGAGAGCATATGATTCATCTGCTGCAGTGGGGTTATGGCTACACAATTCAGGTTGTGCTCACTGTGCAGACAGACTGGCATTTTCACTTTATATGTAGATATTTAACTTCAATGGCAAACTTCACGCATTGGTTTCTTGTTGACATTAAACTCTTTATCTACCAATTGACATTTCGCTAAGCCCCGCCCTCCCTAGTTACTATTGTTACGCCTGTCAAGCTTTCGTGCCTGGCACATCTTTTACAATATGTATGCGCTGGTGTCAGACATTCCCAGGGATATAACTAGTCATTTTTGGAACACAGGTGAGATATCCAGGAAAGCCAGACAAAAAAAGACTGCAGTATGCATTGCAGGTGTATATTCACGACTTAATGTGCAACCGATTAGAAAATGATTGAATCGAAATTGAAGCTAGGTTAGCCTAGCCACCTCATATGCTGAC